TGAACCCCTGCATCTCTTGTGAATGAAGAGTGCTCTGCATCCTTCCTCGGGGCCACCAACAGATGCATCCTGCAGCTGCACGCTCCTTCCTGTCTGCTCTCAGGCCCTTTTGTCTGAAGACGTTGCTAAAGCAAAGTTGGGACACCGGCAGAATTTAAATAGGGCAGCCCTGAATAGAGCAAAGCTGGCTGGCTGGCTGGCAGGAGGTTTCAGTTTCCATGGTTGTTCTTTTCCCTGTGCAATCAGTGAATTTAAATATTAGTGCACTTGAATTGCTTCGACCAGCTGGGGCTTGGCTATCAGAAAAAAGCAAAGTTGAACTCAAGATCGGCTTGTTTTAGTTTGGTCCAGTTTCTCTTGTCGTTTTATTGGCTTCACATGCAGTGCGACACTTCTGTTGTTGACATGTGGAGTAAACAGCGTCTCTGATGAGTTGCCTTGATTGGATCTCCAGTAGGATGTTTATGACTGAGGGCTATTTCTACTCAGGCCTCCGCCCCGGCTGCCCGCCCGCCCGTTCACTAGAGCACGCCTGCCCATGCTGAAATCAGTGTTGCTGACAGGCTGAGCTTGGGTGAAGCAGAAACTTCCTGAGTGTGTGTGTGTGTGTGTGTGTGTGCCATGGCCACGGCCACGCAGCAGAGGTGACAGGCTGTTAAGGTAAGTCCGAGGAGGGTTTTTCTAATAGATCAGTTTCATTGAGCAAGCTACTGTGTGTGCTGCAGCATTTTCTTTGTATGTTAAACCAAACCTTCTGTCAGGATGTTTCAGCTTTGTTTAACTCTTACAAAGAGAACTACCACATGTGTTCAGAAATGGGAAGCTCTGGAGTGGATGAGGAGAATGGGAGAGTTTGAGTGTTTATAGCCTTCGACCGAGCCACATGAGCATGCATATTACCATGCATGACTGTGGTGGTGGCCGGGTAAAGGAAACCTACTGATTAAATGTCCTTAAAGTGACAGAGGGATACATAAGGAACGCACAGACTCTAAGCTCTGTTTTCAGTACAAATAGGAAGTCAACGAGACACAGAAGTAATCTTTTATCTATAATGTTTCATTGTATACATAAACATGATACAACTGTTCATGATTGATACTTTTAAATCAGATCAGTTTTATTTTAATAGCTCAAAATGACACATTATTTTCTTAGGGCTTTACTGTCTGTATAGCATACAACACCCCCATCATTAGACTCTTGGTAAATTGAATAAGGAGAAACTACCCAAAAATACTATTTTAAAGAGGAAAAAGGAAAGAAACCTCAGGAAAAGCAATCCCTCCCAGAAAAACAGTTTTGCCCTCTCCTTTTGCAGAGGGTTAACAAACTAAGTTTAGTGGATAAATGTGTCTTAATTCACATTTTCTTTTTACTGATTTTTTTGTTGTTGGAGGATCTGTCTGATCTGGTTGAAAGTTAACTAAGGCGCCGTTTACACGAGGAGAAAACTGCTTGTATCTGCATAGTTTCGCGTGCGTATAGCCCTATTATTTACACGAGGCCGATAGAAACTGACCCCACAAACGATAACGGGTCCCAAGGTGGATAGATTTGCAAACGAAACGCTCTGGGGGGTCAACCGAGTCCGTGTAATCACCTCTATACGAATATTTCCTGAAAAAATTGCGATAGCCCCACCTCTCCCCACCTCTCCTGCTCACTGCTGAAGCAACTATCAAAAATAGCTGTGTTAATCAAACGCACAAGGGGTTCTTGAATGAAATAATATTATAAAAGGCAAACCAGAATTGTTAACGCCCAATATACTCCTTAAACAAAATAAACAGAGTCAGATTTCATGCATTGATCCATTATATTGACAAAGGTGCGATCTCACCCGGTGTTTGTAGATGTAGGTGTTTCTCTTTCTGAGCCGTCCTCTCCACAGAGACGTGCTTCTTGGGGTCGATGCAATATCCACAGATTCGGTTTCTTTCAGTTAACTTCCCCGTTGCATTTATCCATATGCTGAGGAAATGACTATATCCCGCTGAATACCAGCAATCGCCACACACTTCCTCCTGTCAGTAGCTACTGCTAGTGCTACTGCTACTGACCATGCTACAGATATTAGTGCAAAAAATATACAGCTCCTCTACCACAACCATCCGCAACAAGTGGACATGGAGAATTACATGAACTACATGTTGCTAAATACACCGCGGGGCATGAACAGAAGGGTAGCCATGGCAACATTGCGGCGGAGGCTGCTGGGCTGCTCTTCTTCGCTACTTTTGGTGTATTTTGGCGGAAGTTACAGCGCCACTTACAGTCCCGGCATATGTACTACAGCGTTTCCAGCGGTCTCGTTTGAACAGACACGTTAAATGAAACGAATGCATGTGAACGGAAGACTTTTTTGAATACGCATACTGTGCATAAACGCAAACGTTCCCGTGTGAGCGGGGCCTAAATGACAGTCAGATTTTTATGAGGGAAAACAGATGAACTATATATTTTTGTTGAAGCTATAAGTTGCAAAAAACAGTAAGAAATGACACATGTTCTCGTCATCACATGTTCTGACCGTTCAAGGTAACATCTTGGAAACCTTTTGAGAAGCTGTAAACAGTGAATGTTTGGTATTTTTGTTTGATAAATGATAGATCTTCTGTTGACAGTTTAATAGTGATCATTCCTTTGTACTGCTTCGCTGTACAGTACAAGAGTCAACTGTGTCGTCTTTGCGCGCAGCCTGTCCCTGTGGAAGGGAGCTGAACTTTGGCCATCTGGCAGCCAGATGTACCACTACTTCCTTTGGTCCCCCTGGTAGAGACTTGAGGCTCTTGCATGAATGTATACCCAACATCAGATGGGAAGGAGGACGAGGAGGACGCTGTCTGAGAGCTGCAACTCCTGAAGTTTTTGCCCAATGCCAAGCGACTGGGCACTTTGAGCTCCCACAAGGGGTGTTTCCCACCGACTGGGGGTGGGCAAAAGGGCTTCAAAAGAGAAAGATTTATTTTTGAATGTGATGCCAACTGCTCACACACTTTTTCTCACACACCATGGCGGAAAACAAGCAGCAAAGAAAAGGATCTGGGAGTACAGATCGCTCTTCATCTCACACGTAAGATGTCAAATTTAAATGGATTGTGGCGGTGTGAAAGATAATTTTGGTGTTGTTTTTCTTCGGGAAGTCGCACAATCTTTGGCAAACAGAGATGCGTCTGGTATGTGGCGAGGACTCAAATAGATTTGGGCAGCTTCAGGGAGCACGGTATCCTCGAAAACTTTCCTTTTATGGGAATTGGTTAGAGATTCTACCTCTTTTTACACTGGGCTTTTTTACTCTGCAGTTATTAGTAAGGTTGTTTTTTTAAAACCATGCCTGACAAAGTAACAAGCAAATTAATACGTTGTAGCCTGTTGTGAGGAGAGAAGAGAATCTGTAGCGATTCAATAGGTCTGTGAGTGCAAGGTTGACCTGCCCACTCAGCTCCAGACGCAACAAAGAGGAGAGGAGCGGTGACTCACCCGGCACTTCTCTCCACTGAGCCTCTCTGCACAATGAGAGTCCGCTCTATTCAAAGCCGGAGATCTCACAGAGGTGCTTTGAGGCTCTCTGTCGCATCAAATACATTTTGATGTTGGATTGATTCTGAGCTTTTGGTCTGCAGCGTTACAGTATCTGTGAGTTCGTGTTGGGTGACATACAGTACTGTGTTTTCCTGTGTATTCCTTCTGTGTCTTCCTCTGTTTGTTTGCCCTGTGGCTGTAGGTTCCTGAGCAGCTACATGTTATAAGTGATGTTGAGGAGCAGTGTTACTTACTGATTGCTAGCTTGCCGGAAGAGTCGTTTGTTTATCTGCAGAGCTCCCTGCAAAGCTCATTGTTTATTCAGAGGAGAGGAGGATTGCTTGAAGTCTGTGGCTGGCTCGCGTGGGGGTCTGAGTGCTCAGTATCAAGCTGTATGATTAAAATAAAAATACTGTCACACTCAACTCCAATCCCAAGGGTCTATAATGGAGTTGGTGAGATATTAAATGAATGATGGTTGAAATTTGAGTGCTGACGACCTTAAATGGGGATCATGAGTCATTGGATTAATGTCTACATGTTCTATATTTCTCTAAAGACTCACAAAACGACTCATTTTTGATATTTTTTTAATTGCGCAATTAACATGTATATGATGTCACATGACCTAAACTCTTCGTCAGATATAAAAGCATCACTTGGGTCCAGTTTGATTGTGTAGAAAACAATATTTCAACATCTGGATAAGATACCTGTGTGCTTACACATTTCAAACCTCATGAATGTGCATCATGAATGCAACAATATATATTTTTAAAGGACAATATATAATATTTGTTATCGCTCATTTACTGAGACAGACTTAGACGAGAAGATTGATACCACTCATGTCTGACCACTGAATATGAAGCTATTTGTTAGCTTAGCTTAGCTCAGACTGTAAACAGGGTAAGAGCTAGTCTTGCTCTGTCTAAATATAAAACAAATCTGCCTACTGACACCTCAGCTCCTTAAAAGGTCACTCAAAATATATATGTTTTAATCTGTAGAATGGTTGAAGTCATACAATTTACGTTTTTCCTCTTTATAACAACTTAAGCTAACCGGCTGCTAGCTGTAGCTTCATATTAAGACTACAGATATGAAAGTGATTTAGTGTATCACTATTACCCAAATTATTGTGGACCGACAGATGGATGGACATGGACTGTTTCAAACCTTAAAATGGAAAAGAAAACTGTATTTCACTTGAAAACGTGTAAAAATGTACCTCCTCCATTATGCTGTAACAATGTAAATGTCCTCTGTGGGAGTAAAAAAGGTATTCTGATTCTAATATTTAAAAAAAAATTAAATATCAGTGGCAAATCAATGCTTTAAATAATTTCAGTGTGAGACATGTGATTGTCGTCACTCCCCAAATATACTGTATGTGTTGCCTCTGTGTGCGGGGGTTTTCTGTGTGTGAATGTGTTAGCTTCCTGTTTCTGAGTCCGCTGCGATGTCATTCACAGCTGCTTGTGGAGCATGGGTACAACTGCCAGCGCCGCACCACAGCCTGTTTCTCCAATTGAGTGTGTCCATGGCAACGGGATGGCCGACAGCAGGCAGTCTCTTAGCATGAGCCCCTTTCAGACAGTCAACATCCACAACAACAAGGCCAAGTCCATTATCACCAACAAAGTCGCACCTGTCGTCATCACGTAAGTCCCTCCCCGAATCCGCGTTGTCACAATTGGGTGTTAATCCTCTTTGATCACTGTGGAGACATCCCCCTGTGTTTGCCCCCGTTATCATCTCATTTGTCAATCCGGGCCTGGCAAATAGTAGCTTATAATTGAATTGACCTCTATTTACCATCCAGACCTGCTGTTGTTTGCTGTTTTACAGGTATAATTGCAGACAGGAATTTCAGATTCACAATGAGATCATCAAGACCAACTACAAACTGGGCCGGATATCAGCCGCTCTGCCCGAGCACTACCTGGTGCAGGTAAGGACAATTTTTACCACCCTGTTTCTGAAAGCGAAGATGTGGAGTCATCTCACTTGTCTTTGCGTCTGCTCTTTTCACATTCGCATGTCCAAATTGCAGAGTGGCACAGGACAATTGTCATGCGCTGTTTTATGATCAGGGGCAGCCATTGATACAGGAATTTTGTCACCCTGCTATCAGGGCTTTGATCTGCTCTGTCACCTCTGCTGTGTCTGTTCAGGCATGAAGTGTTTTGTCACCATTAGTCCACCGCTTCTGTTTACATGCGTATTTAGTGTGTTGGCCAGTGGTTACATCAGTAGGACCATGTCTGCATTGATTGGACATGTTTTCTTATCTGTCTTGCTACACAGGAAAATATGTTTTCCTGTAAGAAATAAATATGGCTATTAAAAAAATAAAATAATAATAATTCATATCGAATCCCTTATCAACCCTTTTAAGTCATGTTTTCTTTGTGGGAAAGCAATACATTTTTATTTTTACATAGTCTTGAGTGATTGCTCTTTTTAAAATGTCTCTATCTATAGTCGATATGGTGGTTAAGTAGAACAAAACATTAGAAATAATATTTGTTCTACTTAACCACCATATCGACTATAGATATCAAAGATGTCTTTTATCACTATTCACTTAATATTGTGCTATAGAGTAATATTTAAGCAAAGGGCTTATTGTTCCATTTTTATTTTTCAAATACCCTCCTGCATGCATATTTTAATGCAATACCCTATTGCATTAAAATATATTGCATTTTGTAAGTAGTCATTTTGTGGTCTGTCTCTTTCAAGAAAGTGGCACAAGTAACTGTGAATGGAAGATTCAAATATAGGATTATTTGCCAGCACTTCTTTACCAATCCAGCCATTTAACCAACCTGCAACAGGATCCAAAAGCAGACGGGCTATTCAAAACCCAGTTATCAGTGATGTGTATTTGTGTTTATTCAGTTATGGCAACCTTGAGAATATTTGAATTGCTAGCACCTATGAATCATTACTTTATTCTTGACACCAACAACAACTCAAGCTGAAGTCAATATTTTGAGGGATTGTGACCTACTAATCTCTCAGAGATGCAGGCGACAGGGCGGAGGTTTAACCTGTTGAGACAACAGAGTAACCGGACTGTGTCTGATTTGTTATTTGCCAACAAAGAAAAGAAGGAAATAGATTTTGGCCACTTGTTGTTGTTTTCAGTTTGTGTAAAGGGTGGAGAGGATGTAAGTCGTTTTCTCAAGTAAACACTATTTTCAGATTTATCCAACCACTTAAGTGTTGACATATTTGCTCTGCAGGATTTACAAATGCTAGTGCATACTCGAGTGGAAGCTGGAGAAATGTTGTGTATGAGTCATGTGCTAAGATGAAAAATGCATTGCTTTTCCAGGGGGAGTATTTCATGGTCCAGGATGTGTTCAGCAAGGCAGATGTCCTCAATACCACGGGCAGCTACGGAGCGCCCAACTTCCGCCAAGTCAAGGGATCCTACCCTCTGTACGGGATGGGTCAGCCCAGCGTGAACGGCTTCAAACAAGTTCTCCAGAGACTGCAGGCGCAAGGACACGAGGTCACTGTTGTTTTTCTTTTATAAACACAATAACAGCCGGGCAAGCTCACATTAATTTGTTGACTGGTAGATTTTATGCCCTTAATTCTCCTGAGTCGGTGCCTGTGTAGCTCTGCCTGGCCTTATTTTGAGTCATGTTGTCAGTAAATATTTGAGGAGTCAAGTGCTCAGTGGAGCCTGTGGCTGAACTGCAGACCTGAGCAAACAGAAAGTTGCGGTGATGTGTACCAGTGGAAAATGAATCTCCGCTTACAGCAGCTACAAAACTCACTATAATTAATTAAAATGGACAGAAATGATACGTCAGACTTCCCTAACTCCTGACCTATGTGCTGCGTGTCAGTGTATGGCCACTGATTGTTTCCAGTTGCTTTTGGAAGTGTTGCATTTTAGAAAGCCTTTATTTGATCTTTATCGTGTTGGGCTTTTTTCAAACAGGAGGTTATATTCTTCTGTGTAAGAGAAGAGCCGGTGGTTTTCCTGCACAAGGAAGACAACTTTGTGCCATACACCCCCAGGAGGAAGGAAAACCTGCACGAGAACCTCCATGGCTTGGAAAAGGAAGAGCTGGTGGAGAGCCTGGAGCTCACTATCAGGAAGGAGGTGACTACATACTCAGCATCTGCATGAGTTTTTTTTTTTGGCAACAAAACAGTTTATAGCAGTATTAAAAACAGCCCTCTCTCCATTCCTTTACAGCTCCACGACTTCTCCCAGCTCAACGAAAACATCTTCTACGTGTACAACGACATCGAGTACTTTAAAGACGAGCCGCAGGAGATCTCCATCATGAGCGAGGAGGACATCCATGTGACGGAAGAGGTCTATAAGAGGCCCATGTTCACCATGCCGACCTACAGGTTGTTTACATTGTTCCTTTATTGGCCCTTAGCTCCTCCGCTCACCCGTCAGTTCAAATGTGTGTGGCTGCCTGCAGTAGAATATACAGGGCGGTTTATAAATAGCGCCGCTTGTTTGTGCAGAGGCTGGTTGCCCTTCTTTTTCGGAAGAAAGGGGGGCGGTGAAAAAAGTTAAAGAATGCAGCATCCTGTTTGCAATCAGATTTGTAGCATCAGCTTTATTAAGATATCTACAGCTGCACATATTTCCAGAGCAAGAGAATATATAATCCCCCAAGGAGAGCGACTTGTTGCAGTCCAAAGAAAACAGCAGGATGTTTTATTATACATAGTTTAAATTGCAGGTGGTGTATATTTCAAAGGGAACTTTAATGATTTCGATCTCTCCCATCATCCCTTGTGGATTGTGAAATGAAGTTTCCCGTACGATTTGTGAGCACTAAATGAGGGAGCTCAGCTGTTGATTCTTACTTTAGGTCGGATGTGCTGTGTGTTATGGCCTACACAAGGGCAATATTGACACAACACAGGCGCAGGTTACAATCTGTTGTGTTGCAGGTACTACAGATTACCACTACCAATGGAGGGAGCCCCTTTGGAAGAAGACTTTGACGCGTTTGTTAACATACTCAGGGTAAGATCGCGTAAAAACGTCAATCATGATACACCAATTAAAACATCCTTTTTTGGTCCTGCTCCTCTTGAGAGGTTCTTGTTTTGATGTGCCATTAAAGTAATTTATGACTGGAATATTGGAGAGCATCTGGAATTTCTCACTGAGGTAAGGAGGTCGTCACAGTTTCTTTTTTGAATCCACATAAATCCTTTTGAATCTGGCCTCTCTGTGTCATTAATCACCAATAGCTGTGATAGGTAATACAACAATGGCAGAAAACCTGCAGTATGGTCATCCGCTCTGTCTGGTTTCCATCCTGCGCTACACTCACACAGGATGTTCCTTTTCGTTTTCTTTTGCCCTTTTTTGGACTCCCTGGCAGCAGCCGGTCCACTTCCCTGTGGTTGGAAAGTGGCTCCTTTTTTAAACCAGTGTTTGGATCAGAGCTTCACTGAGTGGCCTTATTTTTCCTTTTACTTGTCCTTCTAGAAGGTTTTATGTTGAAAGATTTCTGGCATGGCAATCCTTCACATGTATTTTGTATATTATTATTATTATCTCATCAATTATAACTTTAAGGATGTTCCCTCACTATTTTGGTGGTTTAAACAGACTTTTAATTTAGACATACCTGAACTCTTACATTTCCATTGTATTGCGTAGCATTGATTTTGTGACATTTACACCTCAGGAGAAAAACTACGCTAAATTTGGCTATGTTAATAATTTGGCCTTTTTCTTTTTTTTATGTCCCTTTTTGGCGTTATGCCGACTTTCTTTCTCTCTTTTTTTATTTCTTTCTTCATGTCCCTTTAGGGGCTCCGTAATGTTCTTTTCAATTACTCTGTGTAGCAGGTTATATGTAACCATTTGGTCCTAAAAACGTCCTCTTTCCAACCAGATTCAAGCCAGTTTAACCTCCCTAACAACCTTAATGATATACCACAGTGCATCTGAGTTATCGACAGTATTCTGTATGTGCTCTGCTTCCAGGAGAGCCCCAGCCTGTCTCTGGGACACGATGCGTCCCGGCCGCTCCCCGCTCTGCTCTTCAGCTGCCAGGTGGGCGTCGGCAGGACCAACCTGGCCATGATCCTCGGCACGCTGGTCATGAACCGCCTGAGGGGTGACTCACAGCCGCAGTAAGAGCTTAACCATATTTGGAAAAACTTAGAATGACATCACATAAAACCTCATCACAAATGTTTTGATACAGCATAATGGACATGTTCTAATGCCAGGTTAAATAGGAATTGACCTTGTTTGTCTCATTTTGCAGAGTTGAGAATACAGCAGCTTCAGAGCCCAAACCACTGTTCAAGGTCATCGAGTCTCTGATCAACAAGCTGCCCAATGGACAGCAGGTCATGGAAGAGGTAAAGCAGAAAATCAACACCACCACAACATGCGGTTTAACAAAGAAATGAGGACAACGCATCTTCTGGTCCTTAACAACAAGTCTCACACTCCTCTTTTCCGTGATATACGAGACATCTTATGTTCGGCAGTTAAGCGATTGAAAGTCATTTGTAAATACATAGATTAAGGATATTCCAAAGGTGGATGGGGTAATAGTTGGAAAGTTGGAAAACATTATCAAATGCATGTTTATTTATATATCTTAAAACATATCCGGAGAGGATCTGTTAATTAAAGATATTTAAAGGTAGAAAGTTGGTTATTTTCATTCTATTTCTCTTTTAATTAATTTGAAGTTGTTAATGTCTTGTTTTCATCTTACAGGTTGACCAGGCTATCAACCTGTGTTCAGAAATGCACAACATAAAAGAGGCAATATATGAGAACAAGAGTAAGCTGGAAGGAATCGGAGAAGATTATCAAATTCAGGTTAGTAATGATCCTTTTACTTGTGATTTAGCATTGCCTACATCAACCAGGAATTTATTTTTTAAAGTACCTTGTGCAATAGATGTTCATTGATTTCCAACTGCTCCTGCTGCTCTATTTATATGCTGCTGAATAAAGCCTGAGTGAAGTAGAAATCAAAGTCGGATTATGATCATTACGTTGATGATGACGGAAAGAAGGCCTTATCAAGGTGGGCCCTTGAGCTGTTGAAGGACTTTAAAGAACACCATTTTCTCTCATCTGGAAATCATAGGGTTGCAACAAATACAAAAGAGCCTTCATAGAAATAACAGTAGCAACTTTGAACAGATAATAACACTTGTGTTTATTTTCAGGGAAGCAGTACCAAAGACTACTTTCTCTTCAGAACCATGCAGAGCTTGGAGCGCTACTTCTACTTGATTGTATTTAATGCATACCTTCATGAACAGGTACTATTTTTTTCTAAATATCCTTATTGATACGAGTAACAAAATGTACAAGCCATTAAAATAATCTGAGTTGTAACTATATGTTGCATTTTGCAGTATCCTCTCGCCTTCATGTCCAACTTCAGCCATTGGATGTGCCGCCATGCGTGGCTCTACAGGTCGCTGGCCTGCATGGACCTATCACAGCTGTCCGCTTCGGCCGAGCTGGTCACCAGAGGAGCTCGCGTCCTGGTGAGGAAATCAGGCGCACACACAGAAGATTTACTATTGATTATATCTGTGTCTCTTCTCTGAATCCAAAACCAATATTGTGCATTTTTCTTCAGTGTTTCTGCATACAAATGCTACTGCTACTTAAATACTGATAGAGCTTGTCACATCTCAATTTACTTCTCAGATCTCTCACAGTCTTCCCACGCAGTTATGTAATCATCTGTATCTTCAAATGCACTATATATGAAATGTGATGTATAACTGCTTGTGTGTGTGCACAGGTTGCTGATGAGTGTTTGGCTCCCGACGTGCTCAGCACAGTGAAGGAGATGAAGGCGGTCAACTTCAGACGAGTGCCCAAGATGCCTGTTTATGGAATGGCTCAGCCAACATCGGAGGTGCAGCATCTAATCTTATCATCACATTAATAGAAAAACTCTTATTTATTTGAGACTATATCGAATCAAACACATCCATAACATCCTTTTGAGAGGATTACTTGAAATGCTTGTCTTTCTAAGTGGATTGTTTTTGGCTTATTAGGATCAAAACAAGTGAACACTGATGGAGGAGCACTAGCAAGAGATATTCTTTGATACAATGTGAAAAAATCAGGCTTTACAATTCCCATTTTTTCCCAGAAAACTGAAGCTTTGAACACACAATTTTGTAAAATGCAACCTTGCATTCAGGAATATCCATTAGATTATATATAGACCTAGGAGGAGTGACTCATCATGATTTTAACTCGCACGTTCACCTCAGGATACTGGAGCCGGACATTCAGCTCTTTACCATCTAATCATAAACTTGCTGTGTGCGTGCGTGTGTGTGTGTGTGTGCAGGCTACCGGAGTAGTGTTGGCCCACCTGACGGATGAGAAAAGGAAGCACGGCCACGTGTTGTGGGTCAACCTGCAGGAGGAGCTGGTGCTGGAAGCAAACGGTCAGATCTTCACACCGAGGGAGCCCTCGTGCCTGGACCAGCACATTCCTGTCCCATCGTCTGACCCACAGCTGATAGAGGTACAGTGATGCTTTTTGGGAGCTTTTAAGGGCAGTTTCAATCAGAAATTGGCCTAGCAGAAGTGAAAATACTCAAATTCCACCCCCTCCCCCCCTGTGTGTAGAAACTGGAGACGTCTCTGAAGGAGGAGATCCTGCGAGCTCAGAAGTGGCTCGAGGTGACGCTGGAGCGGGAGAAACAGATGAAGATGTTTAAAAGTTGCCTGACGGTCCAGGAGATCTTCAACCAGCACAAGAGCTCCTACCAGGGCCTTGTCAGCAAACGCATCCCCCTGCCAGACTGCAGCCCCCCAAAGGAGGAGGTAATGATGTGAAGGAGGTGCATGATAATAACACGTGTGCTCACAAACATGCAGGCATGAGGAGCAGAAGTAGCTCATAGGTTCCCTTTAACGCTAAATAGATGTGACAATGAATAGGCTTTGTGCTCCCTCTAGTGGTGAATAATATTAATGTGGGCCTTTTAAATTGATGATGTACAGGTAAAGTTATTTTTCATATCGGCATATTATGTTTTATTTTCTTTATTTTATGTATTAAGTTTAGATTTCTACTAGAATGGAGGGGTTTGAGTAAAATCAATCAGTTTCAGTCATGTCAATGTATTTTATGTTCACACAAATATATACATTTAAGACTTTCAGTCATGAATGTAATTTTTTAATATTTAATATGTTGTAGCTTTGTATTGATTTCCCTATGAAACCTAGATAAAGGTCAGCCAAATAAATGCTTTGCTAGAGTTTGTATGTGTTTTTTAATACATGAACTCTGTGTGTTCTCATCCTCAGGACTTTGATAAGCTGTTGGAGGCCATGAAGAGTGCCTTGGCTGAAGACTCACACTCAGCCTTTGTTTTTAACTGCTCCAACGGCAAAGGCAGGACCACGACCGCCATGGTCATCTCTGTTCTCACTCTGTGGCACTTTAATGTAAGACGCTTCATTGAGTTTTCCTCAGTATGTTAATACAGTTTTCCTTAAAACATCTTGAAGGAAAGAAATATGTTTTCATGGTCAACAGTAACATGAAAAACTGTTTTCGTGACCTGCAGGGTTTCCCAGATTTTGGTGATGATGAGTTTGTGAGTGTTCCTGACGCCAAGTACACAAAAGGAGAATTTGAGGTATGTACACAAAAAAACAACGCCTTCTCAAGCTTGAAACACGTATTAACAATTTACTGCTGACCTCAAAGACTGTTTCAGTCAACAAGTTAATTCCTATTGACGATAACCCATAAATGAATTGGTCAATCAACACAATTTTGGAAATCATCTTAGTCGTTTGTATTCAAATATTCCATTGTCCTTCATTTCACGATTTATTGCTATTCTTTTTCATACACGATAGTGAATTTGATATCTTTGGCTTTAAATGAGGATCAAACTAATAAACTGCGTTATATTATAGTAGAAGCAGTAGTGTTAGTAGATAGTCCTGTATTATTTTGTAACTTCTCTGTTGATGAGGCTTGAATTTCTTTAGTTTACTCTTATTTCTTTGTTTGTTCAACTTAAATGTGCATGCTGTTGCTGTGAGCTTAAACTGCACATTTCTCTCAGTCCCTAGAAATGAAAACTTTCATATTTTATTAACTTACTGTGGCTGAGAATGAGAGTTTTCTGAAACCTGTTGCTTTTTCTTGTACTCAGAGGAGATTATTAGCTGGGCAGCTATTGTAACGCTCCGTGTTCCCCCAGTACACCATACAACTTTATATTAAAGGCTAAATGTTCAGCCTTTTTCCCACTCTGCACCTGTGATTGAAAGCTTTGGCCAAACAAAGCGAGAAGCCAAAGCCTTTCTGCTCCGGTCTGAATAGTGTCTGTGAATTAGAGCCGCCTGGTGTTTTTCTTGGTTCAGAGTTGTGTCTGTGAATCTGTGTTTGGCCCCTGCTGGCCGTGTCCTCGGCTCCATAAAAATGGACACACACAGCCCTCTGCGGGCTCACAATGCCGCATGCCAATCACAGCAGAGCGGCCACCCGAGTTTCTGGGATACACAGAGTGGTCGCCATGGAAACCTTGTCTGCCTCCAGTTCAACCTCTAATGGATTTGTGATGTTGCCATCCCCAGTGCATTATGTGCCAAAAGCGTGTTGCCATGGCTGTGAAGCCCAAAGCACCACGTGATGGGGGGGCTGCTGTGGTGTGATGTAATCCTCTCCTGGTGTGATGTTGCATTGTGGATCCCAGTCATTCCCCTGAGGCCTGTACTACGAAGCTGGATTTTCTCTTAGCGGGCTAACTTCAGGGAAAATTCTGGGTTTCCGGTCCTACGACGCTGGTTCACTTCTTAGCGGGCTAGATCTCCATGGTAACTTATGCTGAACGGCTAGCCTGGTCCGGAGCAGGTTAGGTTCCAGGATAAGAGATCAACTCAGTGAAAGCACCGCCTGCTGACCAATCAGAGCTCAGTGTGCGGAGTTTAAAGCTATCAAGGCATATTACAGGAGAAAGGAAATACAGAAAAACTGCCGTTGCAGGAAAGACGGCCGGCCAAAATCAACTGACTGTGTGAACGTGAAAATTAATAGAATATCACCTCCCATCTTCAGAGCAATCTGACTAATATAACATTAGCATTAAGAAAGCTTACTTAAATATCTGCCACAAGTTAACATAAGTAACCGGATCAAAGTAACATTAAGTACAGTCCGCGGCACTGAGTGCAGACGTCGATGTGTGTCCCATTATCATTCATATCACATCATAATGTATCATATATTTCCTTATCTGAATCAGCTTCTTGAGCCGTATCTAGCTGTGCAACACTTACAGTGTCACATACTGTATGCAGAAGTTATTAAAGTCAGATCCACTCGTGTCTTAGACTAGGCAGTGATATCATAAACCTGTTAATGTACGCTGAAACACTTTTTCTTTACCAGCTGTATTCACCTTGCAGGTGCAGCTATGTGGCTTTTATCCTGGATAAAGTGTTTAAGTCATGGATGTTTAAAGTTTAACGTCTTCATATTTGTCTAATATTATAATTCACTTTTCATTCAGGAAGTATGACGCTGCACTGTCAGTACGCTTCTCCATGTTTGTGATTGGTCAAATGTTGCTAACCCCGCCCCTTTTATGCGAACGTGCACATAACTAGATGGGGCAAAGCTGGCTTGAGTTAACGAGTTGATAACCAGCGTCGTAGGACCGCTTAGCGAGAGTGCGTTTGTTTTGGATTAGGTAAACCGGGTAACTCAAACATATCCAGGTTATGTTGAACCGGCTTCGTAGTACAGGCCTCTGGTTGATGGAGTATCTGCAGCACTGTTACGATGTCCATAACGTGGCTTTAAATAATACTTATTTTAGTTGGTTACTAACTAGTGAAAAGGTTAAGGATTTCTATTGAAGTTTAAGATGTATTTTTTCTGAGGTCTTGGTAGAAACCAAATACAGAGATAAAAGAGAGATTATTCTACTATATAATACTTAAATTCATCAGGTAGTCAGGTGGACGGCTTCCAACAAAGACAATGTTCCTCTTTGCTGCTTGTCGTGTGAATAAACAACTGTTTGCCATCAACAAATTTGCCATTTCAGCTTCAACATAAAATAATTGAGTGTTTGCAACTTGTTTCTGCTGCCTCCAAGTGGCCAGAAAAAAAGGGTTTTCAATCAATCCATCCATTTGACTTTAGGCTTCATTCAAACAAATCAGGCGTTGTGGTAATCAGGTCAGGGTTGTGCAGGTTTGTGGAAATGTCACATGAATGGCCTATTTGATTGACCCATTTGATTTGAATGCCTCATTGATTGCTCAATACATGATTGGCAATGGCAACAGCGTTACAAACATCGTGATACCCATATGTTCCCCACTGCCATAGCCCAAATTCAATACCCACATTCGGTTGAATTGAATGAATGGGAAGTTCTACTCAACCGCTTACTCGTCCAGCTTAAGTCAGGAATAGCCTTAATATGTTTTTTTAATCTTTATGTGTATTTGAAGCCCAAAACATTTTCTAAAAATCCTTTTCCATAAGTAAATGTTCTTATATGCCTTATTATTAATTTAAAACCATATCAACTTAAGGTGCACACGAAATATACCGAAGAGTTAGGATTGTAAACAAACTTTTTTTTCATTGACTTATGTCATATTAAATATTCTATGGCTTATATTAAGAAATATAAGGGGAGTTAATCATTCAGAGTAACGGAAAACTTGAATAACCGTGATAACATAATATATAGCCAGTGTAAAGTCAGTCTGGGTATGAAAAAGCGTCTCTTCATTGTGGATTGGGACTTTCAGTGAAATACAGACTAGGTCGAATAAATGTAAAGGTTTTATGCAATCTGAAAAAGGTTGTGTTTTTCAGAAGGACAGTGGTCAGGCTGCACTCTCATGCTGCAAGCCTGTAACACACGGCATAAGTTAATACGTTTTTTTCCCTACAGGCATGTTCTGTCCTCTGATCCGCTCTTTTGTGTTCCTCCCTCTGTGCCTCCTGCTGCCCCTTCTTATCTTTGTTATCATCAGTATCCAAAGAAAACCGGCTGTAGAGGGACCAACAAGCAGGTCTAGTAAATTAGCCTGCCTCAGTAGACTGCCACACAGTGCTGATGGAAACATTCCCTGTGTTAGCTGGGTCACCACTGTTAATGAACGTGCTGATACACACTCACACCAATATCTCAATTAGGTCATTAGGTAATCAACCCAGCAGAGCGTTGCACAATGAACCGTTATCAAAAGAGCTCACAGGATGTACACTTGCCTGGTTGTTTTGAGCCGTTTTCACAGTACTTTGATGAATATAATTGTATTGTAAGTGGAAAAAATGATATATTTTGGCATGGCATGATGGTGCCAGATGCTGCTGTTGCTTTAAGCCAAGGCAATAAGCAACTGCCTTTTGCCTATTGCATAGTTTCATACGTAAAGACAATACATCTCTTTAATAATTCACAAATGAATATAACATACAGTACAAGAATAGAAACAAACATTCTATGCAGGCCATGTAATTATACTTATATTGCATATTTATTAACTGTTAAAAACAACATTTCAAGTTTGATCTCCCCACATACAAAAGCAACATCAATTAGAAACCTGCCAAAAGCGTAGAAACATGGACATTTTACGATTTACAGGACCATTACGTTTTTCAGCTTTTTTCATTACATTTCGATTGGAGAGTTCAACAGATGTAAAAGAAACTTGAATCTTGTAATGTGCTTTCTTCGGAAAAGTTTATAACTGGTAAACAATGGTGTTGCTGCACCTGCTTCTTCCTTAGGTGCTTCAATCATTACACTGACATGAGGTGTTAGGCTACGTGGGAGGCAGATGTATAAGTGTTGGTGGTGTTTTTTGAAATACACGGTCGTATCCCAACTTTTGAAACAATCTTGACCTTTGTAACACACTATAACAACGTGTGTCTGCTGTGCAGGTCGTGATGCAGCTGGTGCGTCTACTCCCTGATGGCCACAGGATGAAAAGGGAGGTGGACATGGCCCTGGACTCCGTCAGCGAGACCATGACCCCCATGCACTACCATCTGCGAGAAATCATCATCTGCACGTACAGACAGGTACAGAACATCTCCCTGGAGTATTCACCACCTGGCAAATTCATAGGGAAAGCGATGAACAGATCTTCAGCATGTGAACAAATATAAAAGTGAACTTTCAGAGATCAAGGTAGACAAAGAAAGTAGGGCATTTATAGATAAAAATACAAACTTCAGTGTCCATCTTTGTGACGAATATATAATGCAATGTGTTGTGTATTCTAAGCAAAGAATCACGATGCATTCCTCTGAACTTTTCTAGACGATGTCTTAAATGTTTAATTAGAAGAATAACAAACACTGCATATTTATGAATCATCCCCCTTATAGTGTGACTAAATCAGCAAGTTAATGAGGATTTGGGTGCAGTTACGCTTGAGCCCAGATAGATGGCGTCATGAACTTGTTGAAGTGTTTTTGTTGGATCCCAGAGACATGAATGAGGGAGATTCACTGCTCTGTAGGCAGGAGCTTGGAAGTGATTGTGGTGCAACATAACTTATCTCTAAAACTCAATGGAATTCCTCTGGGTCTAAATGTTGAAGAGAGAGAGAGGGGGAGAAAAGGCAGGAGAAGACTTTACCTCTTGAAGTTTTATTAAGTGTGCCTGCTGAACAAAGTATCACTGAATCTTTATTGGCTGAATCAGCTTTCTAATAGCTCATCCTGCTTTTACAACATTGCTGTTTCTTTAAGGCTTTTCTAAGGACATTTCAGATTTTTAAATACACGTGTAATGCATGGAACTCACTCTAAGGCCTCTACCAAGAAACCTCTTAAATCCCCCCAATTTCTGCTCTTCTTGCACAATTTCTTTGTCAAAACAGTAGACAGATTTGTCTTCTCCTGCCCAATGTTACCCCATTGTGACATAACTATAGTTTTTTTAATATAAAGCTTGAAAGCACTGAGAATGTTGAACAAAAGTATACTTGAGCTTTCATTAGCTCAAGAGCTACAGTAATGAAAGCATACTGCAACAGCTCCTATACAGTAAAACTTGGTACGTTTATACATGTCTTAATTCAAGCTTTTATGTCTTTATAGCAAATGCACGTAAGGAGAGAAAAAGCTAGTTGAGAAGTATTTTTAATCTTTGCATGAGGGAAAAAAGAATGAATGGCATATCTAAAAGATTATCCAGGACAAAAGAGAACCAAATGAGTAGTGGGGCTTTGAAGACTTATCTGGACAAGGTCTCTCCTGATGCTGTGGCCTCTGCAGGACCACGGCTCTGTTTTAGCCATTTGTAATGCAGACTGTAATCATTGTGCCTCTGTGCACCGTCAGCCGTTCTCAGCGCGCTGGAGGCACCCGGTCCTGTCTCCACCGTATCAATGGGCCTCATTGTCCCAGGGACCTTGTCTTTCGCCTCGATTCTCTCTCCGTCTGTCACTCTCTGATGCCAGGCTCCAGGAAAAGGCTCGCGCTGGGCTCACTTTCAAATCAATCAAGTCATTTGTATGGTCATTGCATCTATTTTAACAAAAGTTTTAAAACAAATTAAACAAGTTTTCTTTTTTTAATATTCTTAGGTTAAAGTGCCTGAGCTTTATTCAAATTATTTAATTGATTTGAAGAATGGGTTCCTATGTTTGTATTTATGCCCATTTCTAACAGTAATAATAACATCGGTACACGTTTGGTTTGTATCATGAACTCCAATGAGGACACAATGCACGTTTTTTGCAATTCGATGGTTGGAGGCTGTAACACAAAAAGCAGCGTGTCGATGAGGAAACAGACGGCATTTAAAACAGTAACAAAAACAAAAACAGCTTGGAATGTGTTTTTACAAAGATGGAAATGTGAATGTTTGAAAGACCTCAAGGACACACACGTGTTTTGGTAGCAATACTTTAACTTCTGAGATCTGTAAACAACATCGCTTATCAATTTTAAACAAACTCCACAGTTCTCAAGAGTTATTTGAAAGAGAAAAAAAATATGGTGAAAAAGGACATTATCATCCAAACAGTCTGTTGTAAACATCCGTTAAAGTCTACAGACTGACGTTATGGTTCAAAATGAGCTTTTAACCGTTTTAATTACAATACTGAACCTATTGGTTGTTTTTTTGTTTATTTGCCTCATTAGACTTTATCTTTGCGATGTTGTTTCCATATTTACTTGGTTATTATAATATGTTATCATAACCAATAGAAACAAAGGACCCACATTTGTAATAACCCAAAATGATGGTATAATCCTGCTATAGCGGACCCCCGGTTGGCACTTCAGTCCCCTTTCAGCCTTTTCCTTTCTGCTAGAACCGGCAGGCCAGGTGATAAACAAATCCAGATGTGGCTAGAACCCGGCAGGCGAGAGAGGGGGGAGAAAAAAGTTGGGGAAGAAGAGGGGGAAAAGCTTTACCCCCAAACTCCCTCCCTCTCTCTCCCTCTCTCTCCCTCTCTTCTCGTAGCCCTCCCTCTTCCAGAGGACCCAACCTTCCCTTTGACAGTGGTTGGAAAATGTGTCTTTGATAGAGAAAAAATATATTTACACTGGGACCCGAACCATCCGCCAGCTCCCAGAGGGGCCTGGGAAGGGGGGAAGGTAGGGGGGTGGGGATGGGTTCTTCTTGAAGGGCCTGTAAATCCCTGCTGCCAACCAGGCGTGACCTCGCGTTGCAGATGCGTCCTCCAACATCAAGGCCTACGCACTGGAGAGGCTTCTTCTTCTCCTCTCTCTCCTCCTCCTCTGGAATCAGCTGTGGGGGCCTTTCTTTCCAACATCAAGCTGATTTGAGACTGAAAATCGCCTTTAGCAATCTACACACTGGCATATACTTTGATATTTTTCGTCCCTTTCTTTGTGGGGCTTTACAGGTGTCAATGCGACACAGGCTAAATTTGTTGTAGAAGTGGAAATGATATTGAGTTCAGCAGGGAATCTGATATTCTTTTCAGCCGATACACCAACATCATCACAATCTCTCAAATTTCACCTCCTACTCCTCTTGTTGTTAGTTTTTTTTTTTTTAAATAGGAGTGACCTGGTGTGCATCCAACAACCAGAACCATCCTGATATAATTTCATTTTGGAATACTCAATCTCAGCAGGTTATTATTTTCTCTGTTTGTCCAGTAAAATAGACAGCTCCATCATACCTACCATTGCATTTTACACCACCAGGAAGGAAATAGCACAGCCTGATTCATCCTGACTTCTCACAGGCCTGTAGAGAAAATGTGATCACTGAAGGTCGCTGTCTTCCAGCTAGACCATCAAGAGAGTATTAATAGCAAAGAGTGCTGAGTTGTAGAAGTAGAGATTGTCACAACCGACAATCTCAGAAACCCAACGCCTAATCCCTTGTGTACGTTGAGAGTTTCATCAACTTTACTGTCACCTCTATTTTCAAAATTGAATGCTATTTCTCCCAGGTGGGGAGAAAACTGAATCACACTGAGCCAGAGTGAATGAGCTGCAAAACGTACTGTGTGTGTGCGTGTCCAAAGAAAGGCCCTCATGGTTTGGACGGGGCAGTGGAAAAATATTTTCAGAAAGGGGAGAATGCTGTGAGCAGGTTTTGTTGAGGAAAGGTAGTTGACGTCTTGAGGGGGAGGTACCGCGGAGGGGGAACGACCCAGCACTGACAGCCAGATTAATTTGACTAACGAAGAAGAGCGAGGGATTAGAAAAGAAAGATCATGAGGGTGAGGGTGAAGAAAGTGAGCAAGAGGCAGTCACGCTGGAAGGTTAAACAATCACGTCCACATTCTTAAACCTCACACTTTAATCTTAGCTACCTTCTAAGTATTCCCTTAGCTCGAGAGTCTTTGTGTCAACACGTTTCTTCTCAATTAGGATGGTCACTTGACATAAGTGGTCCAATTACGAGGTGGAGTTGGTAACAGCCAAGAGAAATATTGGCAGGAAAATGAGCCCACCTGAAGGAGAGACAGGTTCTTCTTCATGGCTCAAGTGCGTGTTGACTCCTGAAAAGAGGCTCTCATTAAGGTCCAGTGGGAGGGAGCAAAGTGGGAGAGCCAGAGGTTGTTGTTTTTATTCATAATTTCCAGCCTCTCACATGCCAATGGCAATAGCAGTATTTGCTGTGGCTGTCTACAAATGGCTTATTTTGACCGAATACCATCTGAGCAGGTGCAAGCAGCTGAGCTATGTGGACACCGTCTCTCTGTGCAATATTAGTCCAGGGAGTTGTGATGCAGTTCTACGTATGTTTGTGTGATATGTGTGTGTAGCAGTACGCGTAAAGGTAAATAAAGCATCCCTGGGGACTTTCTTGGGGGGTGTGGTCAGCGCAGTGGCGAGCCGTGACTTTTATACCTAGGCCCTCTGACCCCCCCCTTCCCTCGAAAAAAATAAGAGTTATTACGTCACAGCGTATACTTAAGCGGAATATCAAAACAACGGCCCGGGGTGCAAAACGCATTAATGACAGCGACCCTCTACCACACAAAACAACACCATTTATATAAACACCTATCATGACAGGGCACCCACAGCCAAGTAACAATTACAAATGAATTAAGTCGGCACGGCAGCCCACATTGAAAATGACTTAGGCCTACCTTTGATGATCAAATCACTTAAAGGGGACCTATCATGCAAAATGCACTTTTGTACGTCTTTTATACATGAATATGTGTCCCCGGTGTGTCAGGGAACTCACCAAGTGTCAGAAAACACAACCCTCTCTCTTTTCCTCCATACCCAAATCTCTAAAAACGGGGCTGCAACGGAGCTGATACAGATTTGAAATTGTTCTGACGTCAGAAACAGGGAGCTCCGCCTATATGGGCAACTCTCCACCTATCAGGGGAATGGGGGGTTTGGCCACGGCCACGGCCATTGCCGCTCGAAAGCGCTGGAGACGCTGTAGTACATATGCCAGGCCTGTAAGTGGCGCTGTAGTCTGCCACAAAAGCAGCGAAGAAGACTTCTCACAGAATCAGCCCTTGCAAAAACAGGGCTGGAAAAGAGCAAATAGAGCGAAATGAGGCATGGCTGAAATGCATGATCTGTTTGGTATTTTGAAAAAAAAACTTCCCAGA